ATTCTGACAAGACGTTCTACGTGTTTGCTGGTCCGATCGCAGCGCTTAGCCTCCTATGACCTGAGCCCGAAGCGGCGCCTCGCAGGGATCCCTACTTAGACGGACCTCCGCTGTCACAGCGCAGAACCGAGACGACAGCTTCAGTGATGGGCACGACAAGACACTGGGCACAAGAGGTGCTGAGATGTGCTAAGACTCCTGACCCGGAGCTGTGCTTAGCGGCTCCAAGGTTGCGCGGCACGGCCAACAACGAGGAGCAGAGGCAAATCCAGGCGCAAGTGCTCAAAGATGGCGAAGCTTCGTTGTCGTCGAGTCAGAAAATGGCACATGCCTTGGTGCCGTTGCGTTTCATGTGCCAAGCGGCAAAGTGAAGCTCGGCTAGTATGTTGTCCGCACGGCGTTTTCCTGGTGAGTCGCTTAAGACAGCGGATGCCCACCGACAGGCAACAACAATCCATACCAAGTTCTTGCCTAATGCGTTACACGCATCACATGTTGCAGGAGTATCGTAACCTGTGTATCGTATATTCACGCCTTTGATGAGGCTTGCAGCATGTTTCGCTGTTGCAGACAGATACTTCGCTTCGTCTCATGCTCTGTCGGTGAGGTTCGGTAGGGCAACACCTCCTGCTGATTCATCGAAGACTGAAGTTGGAAGATTTCGACTGGGCTCCTGAGCATACCCGTCATGGCATGATACTACCCACCCCGTCCTGGACGGGGACAGAACTACGGAAGACTCTGGTGCAGTGGTGATGTGCTGTGGAAGCAGCACTCCGTGTCCGTTTGGTCTCTTGTGGATAGTCCGCGTACTGTTCCCGACTCACCGATTCGTCGAACCGCATCTTCGTGAGATGTCTGTCCCTCATGTTCGCACAGGATGCGGCCATACGCACTGGGGACGCGCATGGAGCTCAAACAACAGGCAGTTGAAAGCTAAAATCTCATTGGCCGGCGGCTTGAAAGTGTTGTGTAAGGTCAAAGGCTCCCATATCAGATCTCAGAACTTGGAATGGCCTGTGTTCTCTATGGAAGTGTTTTCACAGATCTCACAGCGCTGAGTAATCGGTCAAGGCCTGGAACTGGGCCGGTGATGCCAGCACAGGGTCTTGAGGCGGGCATGTGATGACCAAGTTTGTGGATCCTGTACGCTTACTGACGGGAAAGCCTTCGGAGGATTTCAGCCTGCATTGGTGAACTCTCCTGGCAACAGAAGAGAAAGTTTCGTGGTGATGTCCCGCCATGTTGATGGCCCGACAACATCTGGCGCTCGTTTTCCTGAATCCCCTCGTATCCCCTCGTCCTTTCCTATGGTCCTATGCAATGCAGCTGCAAATTTTCAGAATTGAAGGAAGGTCGGCTCGAACTGCAGGTTGGATGATACCGGCTTACGTACGGCCAAGCAGTATGGACAGTTTGTGCAGACCTTTGATGAAGCTGTACGACCATGGCTGTTGCAGGAGATCGATGCCCAGGACAAGGCGCAGGCCAGTCAATGAACAGATTTTGTCATGCCGTATGCCCCAGATTTCTTGGCCTTTTTTTTTGTGCTGGCTCTTCGTCCTTTCCAGCCTTGCTAGACTTCTTTGTTGGAACGTCAGATGGCAACTTGAGAGTCGGACCTGGTGGGCTCGCGAGGCAGCGCTAGAAGCAGCGCTATATACGTCCAAGGCCGCGTGTTCTTGAGAACACGGTCGCACTTGTCACAATTTGCAAAGCTTCAGTATCTCACCCGTGCATTGTGTTTCGTTTCAGCCTGCTCTCATTCGAGTTGACCCTGGAGGTTGGTGACCTGCCTCCTGGTTGGGAGGAGTATGTCTCAGAGGAACACGGAGGCTCGCGACATTTCGGAAGTTTGATCAGTGCCAATCGACGGCTTGCCTTTGACAATGTGTACTACGCCGGAACTTCGCTGCATCGGTTGGATCATTTGTCGCTCTCAGCAAAGCAGCCCAGCCAGCGACAGACCAGAACCCTCCCTCAAGAGTGTCAGCCTTTATTCCCGTGACGCTCGCAGCGCCAATCTTCAGTCTGCGCAATGGGAAAACAGTAGCTGGTGGACGGGATCCATGTACTGCTCTGTGGCTCGCGCATGCGATGTACAGGACGTGTCTACTATGTCTTCTCGCAGACTGGCGTGCTGCCGGCTCCAGTTGATGGAAGAGTCAGCAGTCAGATATAGGCCGCTTGTGGTCAACAGCCATAGTCTGTTGGAGCAGCCAGGGGTTGGGGCCTGAAATGGTTCACGACCCATTTTGGACCTTTCGGCACGGACCCATCTCAGACCCCACACATTGTGGCCCAATGCATGCCACATCATATCCAACTACCCACCATGTTGTGCCACGACCTGCTGCTCGCTAAAGGTCTGAAATGGTAGCCTCAACGCAGCCGATGCTTTTGACATCAGTGTCAAAATGACTGGGCAGGACACTACATGGCAGCGGCCAACTCTCCTTCCAGATGGCACTGTGCAGTTCTTTCCCAATCAGGACGGCTGTATCTGTGTGTCGCGAGTCATGATTACCGGCTGTCGGTGCGGGTATTGTGCTGTGTCTTTCAAAGGGTATGAGATAGTGTTGGCCATTTTCCTGCGGCTTCTTGCAGGACGTTTCATCCAAGGCCAGCAGAAGCATCCCGACCGCATTTGCACCCAAGCAGCACGCCGAATTTGACCAGTTCCCGAAGCCTGAGGTGGCTCCAAGCTCGCAGACCCCAGAGGCACGACGTTTGTACAAGTGCCGTGCACATCTCTGCCCTGGTAACATTGAAAAATTCGAAACACGAGAGGACCTAGCCACCAAATTCAGGTGATACTCGTCCGCTGGCCTGTATGTGGGCCAGTGTAGCATTCGTTTCGTGTAACTTGGAGGAAGAGCATACAACGCAGGCAAAGGCAAGCTTGGCTCGCTGCGGAATGCGGCAAAGGCCGCCAAGACCAAGGATGTCATGGCCTCAGATAATTCTGGAACCTGAATTGTCATTCATGGCTGGAGGGTGCTGGAGGTACCTATACAACAGCGTGGGCTTCCGAATCTTGTCTGAGGCTGAAGCGGCCGCGCTGAGCCCTCCCGGGACAAGGCACAGTGTCCCGTTAGCATCGCATTGCACTTCAACTGAAGCTTCACCCGAGGCGACGTTACCATAAAGATTAAAGCTTTGGCCATCAGAAGCCAGTCCAAAAAAACGAAAGTTCCAGATTTGCCGGGCTCTGATTTCGACTGTTCAACGCCTCGGAGAAATTACACGAGGGATGACGCCTGCGCCTGCGCATTCCGATGTCTAATTCTTTGGCTGCACGCAGACGGAAATGTGCTTCCGGGGCTTGTGCTCGCCACAGATGCCCATGCCCCATAACCTGCGCAGAGGCCCAGCTGAGCGGTGGCTGTATCAACGAGAGGTTGCAAGCCATGCGGTGCCCTGTACCCTCCGTATAAGCAGACCGCTGCACTAGCAACAGTCTGGGAACCTTCTGAAGGAATTGAAGGCGTTTCGTTTCCACCGGCCAAGTTTTCCATTTTACTGATGCATGCTAGCTAAACTTTGCTAGACTGCACAGGCACCTGGCTTCCGGTGTTAGCAACAAGCTTTTGCGCGTTCTCTTTTGTATGTAGAGCAACATCCCAACACGCGCTAGAGGTTGTGTGTGTGTGTGTCATTAATGTCTGAACATGCGCTAACAGCGTTCAGGATGGAGGCGGAGCATGGAGCGCCGGCGCCAGGCAAATCTGTGCGATGTTTGTGTGGTAGGCAGGGAGCTGCGATGAGCTGCGTCAGCATGAAGCAGCCAGTCTGGAAGCGTGCCAAAAGCTCCGGCGCAACCTGACTTGACGGAAAATTTCTGCTGGATCCCGACGCCGTCCTGAGAAGGGGTAGCTGTCGAAAGCTGTTATTTCAGTTGACACGCAGGTGATGACGACCTGACGCCCATGGAGCGAGAAAGCGAGGCTGGAAATCCCTCGGCTCTCCCGGAATGTCTTCCGCTTCTCAACTCTAGAGTAGCAGCAGAAGGGCAGTAAGGCATGCTTCAACTTTGAAGTGCTGATCTTGTGACGCTCGTCTGTCGCTTGTCGACAGCAGTCATCCGAGCATCTTTGAGCACCACGTGAGTACCAGTGTCTGGGCAGTCCGTGCGTTTTCGATTCTGCTCAGCTGAGAGGTGCCACCGTTCAGACGACTGCCATTGCAACGCGAGGCTCGCCGCACGCGATGAAGTATACCCCAAATGCAAGAACTGACTGATGCTACTTTGCTCTTGCGCTTTTGGTGTAATTATGTGCATGAAACTGAACTGCCATTCGACGTGCCGTGACGGTGTGCAGCTATTGCAGCTGGAGAAGGATTGGATGAGATTCACTAGAATCCTTGTGAGCAAGCGGCGCAGTTCAGCTCTTGGCAGTATGATTGCACGGCTGACTTATTGGCAACGAGGATTTGAGACGCCAGGCGAGTGTTGTCGCTTCTAACACTTTCTTGCGCCAGCACTGTTCCGTGCTCACTTTAGGAAGGCTATGTCCCCTGCTCGAATCGAAACCACCCTGAGCTTCCTTTCCTGCTGTATGTATAATTAAAGGCAAAAGGCAGTGCGGAGCAATAACCTTTACTTGTCTGTCTATCTGACCACTTTCTCAGGCCCACCACGGTGCTCCCGAGCCCGGTGCGTCCCTGGCCGGGGTCACGAAGTGAACATTTCATTTTGTAGGGTGGGCTGCGTGTACATGAGTGGTGAGTCGACTTCTTACCTTAGTTGTTAGTGGCGGGAGAGAGAGAGGGAGAGAGGGAGAGCGCTGTTCCGTGTCATGTGATAGCCTGCCCGCGCTACAACGAATCCCAGAGTGAACGGAGTTCATCGATTAGCCCTGAATCATGCCTTACTCTAGAGTTGATTTTGTTGACAGTTGGGGGGATCGAAATTCGAGCATGTGTTCGTATGCTATGGTGAAAGCCCAGGTATTCACATTTTCCAACCTATTCCCTTGCTGACCTGGAGCCATTCGGCATGATTCTCACGTCCTCGCCAAGCCCCTGCAACATAGGAGGTGCCCTCGCGCGCGGGCTTCATACGCTTCTCATGCGCCGGTGAAGAGAGAGAGAGAGAGAGAGAGAGACAGAGAGCGCAGCTGTCGGGTTGCGGTAAGTAGCAACGAGTCGGGACAACAGAACTGGTTTGCGCCTTAGGGTGTGACGAGGCCGGGGGGTGGTTGTAGTGTTGGTAAAGGGTGGGGGATGCAAGAGTTGCGAACCGGCCTACCTCATCCAGCGCATTTCTCACACAACAGACAACGGCAACCAGGCGCATTCGTGCGCAGCCAAGGGGGGGGGGGG